CTGTCACCCATGATTATGGGCGGCAAATAAATATTGGCGACGGATCGAATCTGTCGCCAATAAGTATTGGCAACGAATCGAATCCGTCGCTAATGTTTTTCCGTCGCCAATACTTATTGGCGATTCGTCGTCAATGCTAATGTGTCCATCGTAAAAAATTAATATTAATGATTGATTTTTTGTTCAAATATATTCAGTCATACTTAGTTTGATAATTGTTCAAATATATTCAGTCATATTCGATTCCGTAGTTCATTTAACAAATTGAAGTTTGCTAACGATTGGAATTTGACCAGATGTATATTCAATTTGTTTGTTTATTAAATTTTTGTTTAAAATTTATCACATGTTATATGTATTATTGCATATATGATGTCATATTTGTGAGTTTTTGGCTTCATCTTTGATTAGTTTAGATAAAATGATGAGAAAATGGTGAGAGACCAATGAAGATATCATTTTTAGTTATACGTGTTACGAACATGAAACCATATTGATTTTGCTAATGATATACCAGAACTTATCATAGTCATTTTTAATTAAGTAGGAATTCTATGTTAGTTTTAAAGTTTATTTATTTTTATTCTTTATGCTAGTAGATTCGATGACCTCCACTACTCTTGGCTTCATTTACGGATGGACTTGAGCTTGTAAACGTCATTAATGAATCTGAGAGGAGCTAAATTAGATTTAATCACTAAAAACTAGATGAAAATAGTTTGGATAGAGTTCTCTTGGTGTTTTTATAAGGTTAAGAGGAGAAAGAGCCGTCAAAATTGAGTTTGAGCGAATAAGATATAACAGGTCCTGTGTTCGAACTCTTTGATCGCCACTATTTTCTTTTTTGTGAAATTTTTACATATACACCCAAGCATTGTATATATTTGTAAATACCCCCAAAGCATCATTTTACTAATTTCCCCCTCTAAATTGTCTTTTCCATTTAAGCTTATGTCTCAAATTGAACGAAGATTTAATGACCAAGAAAATCGAATACATATTTGGTTAATTTCTATTTGTTTATGAGTTGAATAACTAATAGTTATTCATTTATTGTTAAATGAGATAGCGAATCAAATATGATCGAATAGCTAGATGAATAATAACTAAACTGTTTATTGATTATTTGGTTCACTTCCACCCCTACCTCTAGGCTCATGAAACACATCTACTATTATTGTTTAAGACGCATATATTGCTATTGTCTGAGAAAAGTTATTCCTAGGTACTCTACCCCGATACTAATGATCATTTAAAATTCGGAGATATACTACAGAAATGTACTCATCACTTCGAATTTTACAACTTAATAGAGAGACGTGTGGAAAAAAATAACAAACAACCTAATTTACTCGTTCTTTATACGTTTTTAAAATCTTTATGATTCAAACTACAAGTAACAAATACTATAATGATTAACAATATGGTTTGTTATACATAAATTTATGATGGATTGTTATACGTAAGTGATAAATATCAATATGGTTTTGATTAAAAATAAGTACGCATTTGATGACAAATGTAATCATTAGATTGTTTTACATAAGATTTCAGTTGATGGCAGATATAAAACATTTTAATTCGAATTGAAAATAACATTGAAGCCACAAGTAACTTATTTTATCATGACTAATGGAAAAAACGTTGAGTCAGGTATGCGACCATATATTATTTCAAACTAATTGTAAACTTCTTATTAATAAATATGTAAAAATATGTTTTTAGGCCTAAAAAAATTGGCGGGAGAATTCCCCCTAAAATTTTCACTCAAAACAAATTCCCTGACCTCCCTCCCCTTATCCTCTGTCGCCTTCCCATTCCTCACCAAAACCTCCACCATCTCCGTCAGCGTCACCAGGCTGTGCAGTCTTATCGATCCCCTACCCCGCCAGATTCTCCCTCCCTCCCTGCTCCCTGTCGATCACCACGACCGCGTCGCTCACCTCCAGCCCCAGTCCCCTCAGAGGCGCCGCCGTCTCGAGCACTGACGCCCCGCTCGTCACCAGATCCTCGACAACCAAGCAGACCTGCCCCCTCTCAAACGCCACCTCGATCGCCCCCGTCCCTTACAACTTGATCTCCTTCCGCCGCATCACCATCGCGACCGACTAGATCGAGGAGAAGAGCAGGGACGAGATCCGGGCAAGGAGGTCGGGGTGGGACACGAATACCATGTTTGCTATTTTTTCACTCACATTAGTCAACTTTTCTGAGAATATCATGTTTGCTATTTTTTTCTTCTCTTATTCCCCTTTTTTATTAAACACGTCCTAGTGGCTATATTGTACATTATGTTGGAGCATATCTCTTAACACTGTCATCCTAATTTCAGATGCATGAGAAGAAGAAGGGTGTGATATGGAAATATGACCTAGGAAAATGGAAGAATTTTGAACAGGTTAAATCACATCACATGCTTCCAGAAATTTTAATACTTGGAACATATAATCTGCACTTTGTACTGACTGGAGTTCCTTTATACATTAGTCACAGGTTTTTGGAACAAAAAGGTGGTTGTGGTTTCTACCAATGATTTCAAAAGAGGATTTGGAAAACATTCCGGCACTTAAAGGCCTTGATTTTCCAGTCAGATCCGATGCAGAGTCATAAGGATCGTAAGCTCTGTCCATTCATTATATGTGCCATATCATCATTGCAGTCATATATTCATTAATAAAACTAGCTGTAGATATGATTTCTTTTGATGGTTAGAAATTGTTTCGTTATTATCATCTGCACATATAGTTATTGCTGTGATATCCATTAGTATATCGGCATCAGATGTAAATTGTTTTGATTGTTAAAGTTGTTTATATTGATATCCGACAAAATTAGACAACTATATGATTTCTTTTGAGTTTTTTAGTCTTCAGCCTTCGCCAGCCTTGGATCTCTTTCATGCTGAACTAAATGAAGTTAGCTACAAAATAGTTGAAACTATATGCATAATGTAACACATTGTATTTAAACATGATTATGTTCTTACTCACAGTACTGCATGGTATTCTAGAAAACCAGTAATAGGGTGCATTTTGTGAAGAACCTAATTCGGGAGGTTGCTGGGTTTGCACCATATGAAAAAAGGATCACCGAGCTTTTAAAAGTTGGGAAGGATAAACGTGCTCTAAAGGTCGCTAAGAGAAAGCTGGGGACACATAAACGGGCTAAAAAGAAGCGTGAGGAGATGGCCAATGTCCTCAGGAAGATGAGGTGGTCTAGGATGATGTTGATGTGTAGTTTTTTCTCCCCCAACCAAACAGCCTCTTAGAAACAAAACTCTAGAGTTGATGAGCACTATTTGTTTTGCAGCAGTAAAGTACATAGATCAAATCAGGATTCACTGTTTTCCCGTTTGTTCAAATATAGATGTGTATTGATTACGCATCTCAATTTTGATTCAATTTTTTGGGGTTAAATATCTGACTCAATTCTATTACAATGTCATTTGATATTGAAAAGCTTTTTAATCTTTTGCTCCCTCTTTATGTGCAGATCTTCTGGAGTCTCTGAGAAGAAGAAATGATGATTTTGGGACTTCATGAAGGTTCTTCACTTCCAGAGTTTTTTAATATTTTCTTGACATGGCAAAAAATTACATCAGCTATATTAAACACTGTTATTTACTTGTA